CCCGGCCCGCTAGGGTGCTTACCCTGGCAAGCCGCGTGCTGAACGTTGCCGACCCCTGAACTAGAGTAAATGGTGAATTCTCTGTAACTTGAAGTCTTTAAATCATGATTTGAGGATCTCACTAACTCAGTCAGAGGTTATGGGTCTATTACAGGAGTGGGTGGGCAAGGTTCTGGCCTGCAAGGTGCAAGAGGTCAGACTTGATGGTCATAATGGTCCCGTCTGACCTTAAACTCTGAGTTTATATGCTTTTTTTGTTGGTTTTGACAAAGTTAGTTAGGAAAATCTAGATGCTAAAAAAATGAAAAATACAAATTTATGAGCAATAGCAACAATACACAAAACTCTCCTTTTATATCATTTTCAATTAATAACAACACGTTAGCCTTGCATTCTTTTTTTTCATAAGAATGAAAACAGTAATTAATAAAAATTAATCGTCCGGTAGATCAATGGAAATAAATTATCATTGTAGCAATTTTTAAAAGAGCAATGCGTAAAATTTCATATGAATTTATACAAGGCATTCGTGCTTGCATCTAGTTGCTTGAGACAAGCTTGTGTGAAGACAAGTTTCTTTTTTTGGCAATATGTTGGGTTTTTTAATGCATAACTAAAATAAAACTACATATTGTAGATTTTTTTCCTTTTACAAAAGGAACACGACCTTTTGATAAGTGGGTTTTGAAATGAACATCTAGCTATTAAATATGGCTCTTTGCATCTTTAAGGGAGAAGGAATTGATTTTGATATAAACTCTATATGAGCTAAACTTTATTTTTGTAATTTAGGTTCAATAAGAAATATGTTTGGGAAATTAATCCCTGTTATTTTTCTTCCCCTTCTGGTCACAGCTGGTAATCAGAGTTCACATGTCTGATGATAGCTCCAAAACTATGATGGTGGATGAGAGACAGACAGTAAGACAAGTACTGGACAATCTGATGGACAAATCCCACTGTGGCTACAGTTTAGACTGGTCACTGGTAGAAACCATATCTGAATTACAAATGGGTAAGTAAACATGTTAACAATTTAGATTCCTACTTTTTATCTTAGTATTATCAGTTCACTTAGCATTTGTCCATATGGACTTCATACGAATTTAAATATTATTGATCCATAAAACTGTTAGTGTTCATCAGCCTCTGTTGGAATAAATTTTCATCATTTTGATTGTCGGTTATGTTTAGAGTTCTGCAACCATTTCTGACTTTAATACCTTGTACCTGTATTCACTTAAAATCTGTCTCTTTATAGTTAAATGAACTTGTTTTATTTTTAATTGAAACTAATCCAGTGTTGTGTTTGAACTGAATTGTTTGGTAACTCCAATTAAAGTAGCAAACCGTTGTACATTGACCCCTTACTAGGACAACAGGCCTCTAATAGCTGAACTGTCTAGGAGAAGGTTGGACAGTGCAGAACACATGTTTGGGCGGGGGGGACGGGAAATTTGGAACTGGGCGTGTGTTGGGGTCACCCTGAAGGTAGTAACCAAGGCCGCTGGAAGCCAGTGTGTGGCTGGTATGTTGCTGACAGGCTGATGGGGTCAGAGTTGCTGGATCAGGGGTGTAGATCTATAAGGACACTTGGGGTGATCTGCATGCTGTTTGTGAGCAGCCCAGATTGGGAGCTACACGAGCAAGGACACCTAAGGTTGCATGGCAGGTGGTGACAAAACCCTTCTGGAGGAAATTCACAAGACATCTCACACATTCCTGGATATTTTGCAGAATGTGGGATCTAGTAGAGTGGCGCTCCTCATTAATGAGGCCAGCCTAGAGCCTGCCAAAGTCACGTGTCATACTCCAGCAACATGCGCACCTACTCTTAAGAGGGCAGAAAAGAAGTTGTATGTCCCAGCCAAGGGGACAGAGTTTTTGTTCTCTCATCCTGTCCCAAACTCTTTGGTGGTTCAAGTGGCCACTGAAAGGAAAAGGAAACACCACACAAAGCCCACTCCTTCAGATAAAGGGGCCAAATGTGTGGACCTACTCATAACAAATATTTTCATCCACCAGTCTGCAATTACCTGGCTTTGTTGTCAAAGTGTGATTGTATCAGTGTCTCTAAAATTTTGTAATTCAGAGACAAGCTCCCTCCGTAGGATAGCAGTCAATTTCAAGTGGTTATCGAGGAGGGTAGATTGGTGGCTAGAACATCCCTACAGGCTGCAGTTGATGCAGCCTCAGGATAATGGCAACTATCGTGATGTGTCAGGAATCCTGACTTGCCTCAGCGAAGTTCAATCCAATGTGAAGGACTTGCCCTTTGACGGAAATAACTTATTTAGCTAAAAGACTGAGCCCTGGTCTACACTACGAGTTTAGGTTGAATTTAGCAGCGTTAGATGGATTTAACCCTGCACCAGTCCACATGACGAAGCCATTTTTGTCGACTTACAGGGCTCTTAAAATCGATTTCTTTACTCCTCCCCAACGAGGGGATTAGCGCTGAAATAGACATAACCGGGTCGAATTTGGGGTAGTGTGGATGCAATTCGACAGTATTGGCCTCCAGGAGCTATCCCAGAGTGCTCCATTGTGACCACTCTGGACAGCACTTTGAACTCAGATACACTAGCCAGGTACACAGGAAAAGCCTGGGGAACTTTTGAATTTCATTTCCTGTTTGGCCAGCGTGGTGAACTCAGCAGCACAAGTGATCATGCAGTCCCCCCCAGAATGTTTCTACGCTCCCTCTATCATTCTCCGTCCCTGAGGTTATCACAGATTAGAAGGCGAAAAAAACGCACTCGCGATGACACGTTTTCTGAGCTCATGCAGTCCTCCCACACTGATAGGGCACAGCATAATGAATGGAGGCATTCAGTGGCAGAGGCCAGGAAAGAATTGCTGTGTTTGCTTAACGGCAAAAGTATCATGCCTCGCTAGCGATCCTGCCCGAGCCAGGTGGCTGTGTCACATGCACTCCGCGCTGTGTCACCTTGGGCGGGGGCATGACCGCTTTGTGAGCAGGAAGTCCCTAGATAGACATTGCATTAGGTAGCTTCTGTACAGGGCCAGCTCCAGGCACTAGTGCAGCAAGCAGGTGCTTGGGGCAGCCAACGGAAAGGGGTGGCACGTCCGGGAATTTGGCGGCGGGTTCCTCGGTCCTTCTCGGAGGGAAGGACCTGCTGCTGAATTGCCGCCGAAGAATGAAGCGGCGGCGGTAGAGCTGCTGCCGGAGTGCCACCGATCGCGGCTTTTTTGTTTTTTCTTTTTCTTCCCGCCTCTCTCCCACCTCCCCCACCCCCCGCTTCGGGCAGCAAAAACGCTGGAGCCAGCCCTGCTTTTGTAGCTAGAGAAAACATTCCTGTGCATTCGGCTAAGTCTGTGGCAAAAGAAGAGAAGCCCTGTACTGTAGGAGTTATCACGTTCACCTAACACACGAAACATCCCCAGTTTGAAACTGGGCAGAAACAGGTCACTGTTCCTTTTTCTGACTCTCCTCCTACATTTTTAGTCTTAGAACAGACCGTGTTCAGGCTGTGAAATTTTACTTTAAATTATATTAATTATGAGTTAAATAATATGGAAGCTCTCTCTAAGTTATAGTCCCAGGTTCCTTACCCTTTCAGCTGCTCTGATAAATTAACATTTTTGTTAGGGGCGGGGGGAGATTTTCATGAAGCCTTTTATAGGGACTAAATGCTATCTAGGACTCTGAAATAATCTTAACGTGGCCCATAGAGTGCAATCCTTCGTTCTGGATTTGTCATTCCACAAGTTGAACTGCTCCTTACTACTGTCCAGGCTTCATGAGCAAGGGGCAAGCTGGGGTAGGTGCGACCGTGCGGTGCTGCCGGCTGGGAGAGCAGCCTGAGGCAGAAGCCTCCAGCTTGCACTGCCGGTCTGGGGCTCCGTCTGCTGGCCCCGCTCAGCCCGCTGCCTGCCTGGGGTTCCGATCATCCAGGCAGGCAGCGGGCTGAGCGGGTCCGGCGGACAGGACCCCGGAAAAAAGGCGTGAAACAATTGTCTGCCGTTGCTTTCGTGGAAGGAGGGTGGGAGGGGGGCCTGACGACATGTACCCAAAACCACCCGCGGCAAAGTTTTTGCCCCATTGGGCATTGGGAGTTTAACCCAGAATTCCAATGGGCAGCGGAGACTGCGGGAACTGTGGGATAGCTACCCACAGTGCACCGCTCTGTAAGTCGATGCTAGCCGCGGTAGTGAGGACGCACTCCGACTTAATGCGCTTAGTGTGGACATATGCAATAGACTGTATAAAATCAAATTCTAAAAAATCGACTTCTATATTGACCTAATTTCGTAGTGTAGACATACCCTGAGTCATCCTGTTCATTGAAAGGCTCAAGGGCAACCCTCTGCTCCCTCGGTGTATATATACACCAGCACTGAAGATGAAGTATCATAAGCAGTTTAGACCAGTACCACAGCCCTTCTACCATCAAAGGTATATGAACCACAGCAGAAGCAGAAGAGGGATTAAACACAATGCTTCTCTTTCCTCCTCCTTGCAACCACAACTGCAGTCAAGAGTACTTTTGATGGGACCTCCGAGGGTTGCAAACCAACTGAGATGCCATCTCTTTCGGCCCCCAACATGCAGTTTTGTTGGGGGCCTAGCCCAGTTTTCCTGTACCTGGTGGGTAACAGACAAATGTCATCAACACCATCTGTTCAGGCTATATTGTAGAGTTCCTCTTCCTCTCCAAAACCACCTTACCCATCCCTTTTTAGGGACCACTCTCACGAGAGGATACTCATTCACGAGGAAAGCTTAGAGAGGGATTTTATTCCAAATATTTCCTCATCCCAAAGAAAAGGGAGGATAGAGACCTCCGGCAAATCAATGTCTTTATCCACAGATTCAGATTCAGGATAGTCACCTTGGCATCGATAATCCCATTCCTAGAGATGACAGGGTCACAGTTCTTGACATGAAGGGTGACTATTTTCATATAGATGTCCATCCCTCTCACAGGAGATTTCTGTGGTTTACTATAGGTCCAAACTGTTATCAAGACAGGGTGCTCCCCGTAAGAATAGCAACATTTACGAAGGTACTTTCATTTGTGGCAGCAAGCTTCTATTGCCACGGCTTGACAGTCTTTCCTTACCTAGATGACTATGGACAGGGAGATCTCGTTAGGTGGTACCACCTCATCTCTAGCATCACTGGGAATCTGTGTGAATGCAGAAAAGTCCATTTTAGTTCCCTCACAGACCATAGAATTTATCGGAGTGACTCTGGATTCTGAGCCAGAGCGTATCTCCCTCCGTATAGATTCCAATCCATGAACAATTTAATCAGTCCTCTCAGAAAGAGCCTGCAGATGTTGGTTTGTTCAAACCTTATCATCCTTGGTCAAATGGGATCCTGTACCTACATGACACCTTTTGTGAGACTTTGGCTTTGCTGTCTACAAGCCTGGCTTCAGACGGTGTATGTGCCAAGCAGACACAATATGGACAAGTTAATCCTGCTCCCTGCCTCCCTCCCTTCCTCTCTCCCACCCCCCGCTTCAGAGTGTGGGACTATCTAGCTTGGTGTCAGAGCAGGAACGTGGGGGGAGAGAGAGTTCCCTTCACTCTGTGCCCACCTGAGAAGATAGGTGCCTCCTCCTTAAGATGAGACCCCCATCTGGACAACCACACAACACAAGAAACATGGACTCCTTGTGAATCCAGGAACACACGAGCTCATAAACCTCCTGAACCTGAGAGCTCTCCGAGTAGCATGCAAAGATTTCTTATTGATCATACAATTCCTGCATATTTAGGTAATGTCAGACAACATAAGTGTTCTATGTCAGCAAGCAAGGGGAAGCAAATTCTTATTCCCTTTGCATGGAGGCGAAACTGTAAAACTCGTGTATTCACCACCATATTATTCTAACAGCAGTACACCTCCCTGCTCTGTTACAGTTAGCTGATACCTTCCTCCACTTGGTAGGAGGGCCCACTCTACCAGAGCCCAGGCAGTTTCGGTAGCCTCACTTCATGAAGTGCCACTTGTTGACATCTGTAAAGCAGCAATGTGGAGCTCTGTCCATTCATAAAACATTATCCCTTGTGCTAGCCTCCATAGCTGCACTTTAACTTTGCAACTTTAACTTTGGCCTTTCTTGAGTCTTGACTGGGTAACTTTGCAATCTCAACAGTTTCATATTCTAGATTGTTCAATATAATTTCTTATGGGGGTGTTAGAAGAATCAAAAAACAATAGACACACAAACCTGTTTGCTTAGACAATTTAGCAGTTCACCACCAGAATTCTAAAAAAGAAACCTGCATGCCATTGTGCACAAAGTTGTCAATGGCTCAGAGTTTCTACTGATTTACCTAGAAATCTTTTTGTAAAGGAGGGAAGGCTCTTGTCAGAGAATTCATACTTAATTGTATAGTGAAGGAGACAAGGGCTCGGCAGGGCCTTTTTCACAGAGCCTGTAGTAACAGCAGGGTGAACTAACTGGTATACATTGCTTTTGCCTTATTAATTGTTCATGAACTGAATGTGCAATGAAGTTTAATAAGCTCTTTCAGCTACTAGACTCTGCAGAAGAGCAACTGTTCTCCTGCAAAGTTCCTGAGCTTCCTTATCTCATTTCACTTTAATCAAATGAGGTAGGGCTTGCTAAATTTTCCTGTGATCCTAAATTAGCTATGCACACTTAGAAATTAGAAATTAATGGAGATATCCCATCTCCTAGAACTGGAAGGGACCTTGAAAGGTCATCGAGTCCAGCCCCCTGCCTTCATTAGCAGGACCAAGTACTGATTTTGCCCCAGTTCCCCAGGTGGCCCCCTCAAGGATTGAACTCACAACCCTGGGTTTAGCAGGCCAATGCTCAAACCACTGAGCTATTATATAACCATCTTTCAGTTAGAACATCAAGAGTGTTCTTTCATTTTTATTTTTACATAATTCTTGTTTAAAAAAAGTCACCTGGGTATGTAAGAACTATAAATTTCAAATGAGATGATAAATAGCTGAAAATACAATATTCAGGTCTTCACTGTACTGTGTTTATATTGTAAGTATACAAACATCTAACCCAGGGGTCGGCAACTTGCAGCTCTTTGACTGCCCCCTAGCGGTCTAGGGGCTTTTAAAAAAAACAACAAAAAACTGAATTTACTTTATTTGCTTCGTTACACTCTAAAACAGTGATCACCAGCCCGTCAATCACAATAGACTGGTCGATCCTGGAGCCTCTGCCAGGTGATCACAATCTATCAGCCGCTAAAAGTCCAGCAGCGCAGCAGGGCTCAGGCAGGCTGCCTGCATGCCTTGGCCCCATGCTGCTTCCGGAAGCAGCCGACTGCTGGCACATCTCTGCACATCCTTGGGGGGAGGGAGGAGAGGCGGCTCCGTGTGCTGCCCCTTCCCCCAGCACCGTCCTCTCAGCTCCCATTGGCTTCCATTTTAACAAACTGTTAACTATATATCTGTGTTTTTCCTCACATCTTATCCACCTACTGGATCCTGCTTTGAGGTCATGTTACAAAATGTGAGAGAGTAGAATTTTTTTTTTTACTTGTTTGCTCTTTCTCGTTTATGCAGAAAGAATCTTCGAGGACCATGAAAATTTAGTTGAAAATCTTCTAAACTGGACCAGAGACAGTCAAAACAAACTTATATTTGTGGAACGTATAGAAAAATATGCACTTTTCAAAAATCCCCAGGTAAGTCTGAAGCTGATTTTTTTCACTTAATTTTAAGCTTATAAATGTCTCTTGGTAGCACCTTTGTCAACTTTTTTATATTGATATTTGTATCTGTACAAACACACACAGTAGCTTTGCATTTTAACAGTACCTCCAGAATACACTCTGTGGTCAGCGCAAGATTAGCCCCCTAAATGAAAATCCTTGATGATCTAACCAATCCGTTTTCTAAGTGTGTGAATAGTTTAGTGAAATTAATAGCAGCCCATGTAACCAGTTTGCATGGAATACTCACCAATACTTAGTGCTATTCACATCTAGACAGTCCGGAGGAAAGGGTTTGAGCTTGAGTTGTGACACATATCACTTTGGGGAGACTGGCAATGCCCCCCCCACACACCATCTCACGAGGATAGGGTGAGGGGAATTGGATGGATTCTGTGGGATAGACAGCTGCCTACAAGGGAGGGGCAGAGAGATAAGGAGAGCGAATGCCTGAGGAAGCCAGGGTCCGTCTTCATTCAGCTGTTTCCTGATCAAACAACAAAAAGGTCACTGTTCTTTTTCAAAAATTAACTACGGAGGGATGTTAATTAGGGTTTCTTGATTATAAGCATTAATGAAAAAAATATGATGTAATGCTAGAGGCCTACAGCACTGAGGGGACAGAGAGGTGAAAATAAAATCAGGAATCGAAACAAAGGACCATTTGAAAAATAAAGAATTAACAAAGGCATGTTTAACATCACCTTGATCACTTGCTTGCTTAACCTCTAGTCTGTATATTGGGTGTATGGATAGGATGACCAGATGTCTTGCTTTTAAAGGGACAGTCCTGTTTTTTGGGACTTTTTCTTGTGTAGGCGCCTATTACCTTGCACCCCCTGTCCGTTTTTTCACAGTTGCTATCTGGTAACCCTATGCATGGATCATGTTCTTAAGTCTGCGAGGTACCTAATACACTAGGCTCTTGGGCTTCACTTTCCAAAAGCGAGTAGTGATATTCGGTGCCCCAACTTGAGATACCTTTATAAGGAGCATCTATTTTCAGCGAGAACTGAACATCAGGCCTCTTTCTGTGATCTCCGGCTGAGGCACCCAAAATCTTAGTCACTTTTGAAAGCGTATTCCTCAATACATGAGTGACATCAATACATGTCACTGGCTATTAGTAATAAGAATGGGCCTTCTGTAGATGGAAGTCAGCATGAACGTGTTACTTACTCAGTTAAAAACCTTGGTCTGACCTAATACCATGAATATTGTTTTGCTTCCAGAGAGAGCACGTGAGTATAAAGGGGTCTGGAAGATGCTCACGGTCAGTGTACCAACCCCTTCCAGCTTAGGTGGGGAAGAGTGCAGAATCACTTTACTGGATAAAAGGATTATATCATACTGATGAGACACACACCGTATGGATAAACAATTGCTATTTGGCTTCTTTTTTCAGAAGTTATTGTTTATCATGATTTTCTTTCATAGAAAGTATTAATTATTATTATTAATTATGAAAAACTATAGAGATGGAGTGGAAAAGCGTAGAACAGTCCCATGTCCGCTCCTTCCAGAATATTGAATGATGGGATGGAGTAGTCTACTAAAGGCCCAAATTTTTTCATCTAATTTTTATTCTGGATTTTTAATTTTATCTGTTTATATTACACCAATCAGTGACTGGCTTTATGGCTAACCACAATGGCTGAGAACTGCAGCTTATGATGCTTTTACTTAAGGTAATGTCACATGGACTGGCTAATATTCCTGAAAATACAAAAGGGTTTTTTCCAGCCCTTTAAGATTACAGAATGCAATATTTTGGTTTCTTTTATTCTTTAGCAACCTACCACATGAGTCTCAATTTTGCTCCAAAATCATTTTTTTAAATATTATCTAGCTGTACTAGTGGACCAGACAGGTCTTAGAACAGCTAAACTCTTATCAGCACGAGGAAGTGAAAAAGATAACTTGGTTTGACTTCAAAACTTCAATAGAAGTTTCATCCTTTCATTTTCTTTTGTTATAGAACTACCTGCTGGGGAAAAAAGAAACCTCTGAGATGGCAGACAGAAATAAAGAAGTGCTGCTGGAGGTAAGACAACTAAAACAAAAAGAATTCATAATATGTAAATGAATGTTTAAAATTAGACTTCAATTTATATTTATAAATAGTGTATAAATGATAAATTATTAATGACTTAATAAATGATTAAACGGTTTTTATAGATTGTTAGAGTCCAGTAAGTCAAAAGATTGCTTATAGCCATGGCATTTGACCAGCTATAACCCCACCTTGTGCTATGCTTGTTGTCATCTTAGCATATGCGCAACGTGCTTCATGTGGCACATGACCAGGTTTAATTACCAAATTTGGTCTGCTGGTTAAATCATTGGCTTCCCCAGGCCAGGTACTGACGGTGAGCATGACATGAACACTGAGCCCCCCACCCCAGGCTTGTAATTTTCTGTAGCATATACCAGTCAATTCTGGATTATGATTATAACATCTGTAATGCTTTTATTATCTATTTAATAAACGGAACCTTAATATAAAGTGTGACCTACATTTCCGCTGATAGCACTAATAGCAAAATACACACAAGATGGATCATAGTTGGGCCCACTGACTATTAGTGAGGTTTTTGTGTATGCTTGGGAAATTGTACAGCTGAGGTGTGGGCCCATGTCTTTCAGGTTTGGTTAAAGCCATTGGAGCACTTTTGGGACTATTACTGATAAGTATTGGTTAAGAAACCTTCACACCTGTCAATAAGTAGCACCTTTATTGGCATTCTGTACTGAGGGGAGAACTATTAAATCAGACGCAAAGTTCAAATGGGCACAAACTCATAATTACCCTTCATGTTAGAACTGAGTGGAGCAGTCACTAATTATGCTATATACACCTCTACCCTTCTATAACGCGACCCGATATAACACGAATTCAGATATAACACGGTAAAGCTGTGCTCGGGGGGGCGGGGCTGTGCATTCCGGCAGATCAAAGCAAATTCGATATAACGCGGTAAGATTTTCTGGCTCCCGAGGACAGTGTTATATCGGGGTAGAGGTGTATATTCTCTAGATGAATAAAGGACTTCAACCCCCAGGCTTCTAAACCCAGTCCAGTTCATCATTTTAAAATATTAATATGTTTTTATATGTTCTCTTTTTTTCTATACTGTCATTGGCTCTCTCTAGGAATGTTTTTGTGGAAGTTCTGTAACTGTGCCAGAAATAGAGGGAGTCCTGTGGCTGAAAGATGATGGCAAGAAGTCTTGGAAGAAGCGTTATTTTCTTTTGCGAGCTTCTGGAATCTACTATGTCCCTAAAGGAAAAGCAAAGGTGTCTTCTTTAGTTTTACTTTTATAAAATATAGCTCTTAAGAGTGATTGTCTAATTTCAACCTGCCGTCTGGTAATGAACGAAAAACTCAAGCAAAATGAACATCCTCTTGATAATTTAAATGTGTATGGGTAGAAGGAGCCTTGAATATTACTTCAGAATTTTGGCTGCACTATGCTCTTGCTTAAATCATCATTACAATCCATCAATTAAAAACATAGCTTTAAAATATAAATGAACAATAATTTATTCAAGAAGGATTTGATGTAAAACAATCTGACCCCCAATTCAAAATTGAGATCACAAGGATCTTCCATTTGGAAGAGCTCAGCATACGTTTGTTCAGAGTAGAATAGTTCTCTTAAAAAGAGTGTGTGTATGTACAGTTCAGGGCAGTTTGATTTATTTTCTCCTGCCTAATCCCATAGACCTTTTTCACAGGTGAAGGACTAAGTGACACTACAAGTTTTAGTGTGTCCCTGACTAATATGTGCCAGGGAAAGTTTGAGTCATTCAGACTACCAAATGGCACTGTTTTGAGTAGTTCATATTCAAGGGTTTCTTTTTAGTCTATTTTCAACCATAGTTTCTGGAATCAATGTAGATCATACCTTTTCTGCATGATTTCTACAACTTTGTTTTCTATGTTGACGTCATACTATACTGGAGGAAAGATAGAAAATTGCTGCACTGATTGTTGACTTTGTGACTTCCAGGCTGGTTTACTGCAACTCATTGTACGTGGAAATGGCTGGTCCAAAACACAGCAGCTCACCTCCTAACAGCTGGTCACCAAAAGCAAATAAACCCCAACCCAGTGTTCTGTTCTGATCAGTACATTGGCTCCCCATAGAACTAAGTAAATTTCAAATATTAGTCTTCCTCTTTGAGGCTTTCCATTTCATTAGACAAGCTACATATAAGACACCATGTAAAAAAGGTGTACCTTACAATCAGAAATACTTGAATATGAAATCTTAAAACAGTGAGGTTCTGAATGAATGCTTATATTACCGGCAGCTGCTGAAGAGTTCCCCATGTGACTTTTCCTGTTGACCCTCTGCTCATTTTAAGTTTCAATGGTGGCCTGGAATATAATACTGTCAAAAGAAACAAACAAATCATTTTTGAACTAATAATGCGCCAAAAATACACGGATTTGAAAAAGCATATCCTAGTTAAAAAAATAAAATCTTATGCAAGGATTTGCTGCATAGACCTATTCCACTTGGCATATTGTTTGTTAGTCTTAATGATTCATTCAACATTTTAATTAACAATACTGTTTTTTCATGTAAATGGAATAAGAAACATCTTAAACATTTTGGAACGTGCTGGCAAGTTGCTTCAGATAACTGTAGTATTTTCCTCCATCTGTGATACGTAACTCTTCACTTTTTAGACTTCTTATTGGTTAAAATTCAGATACAGGGATTTTGTCCTTGGAAAATTAGCTGATACTGAATTTCAGTAGCACCAATTTCTTGTTTTAGTTCAGTTCTAACTGTTTGTTAATGCAGCTTCTTGGAACTGGTGCATCCACTCGGACTAATGTGCTTTGCTCTTAGACTGGAACGACAAAGTGGTTGTCTACACCCACAATTCAACTGGCTCATTTTAGTTAGACCTGTGCAACTTTACATGTGGGCACATGCTTGCATTGGCTTAGCTTGCCAACTTGAACCAAAGTAAGAGTGTCCTCACACATAGTTGCCCCCAGTTTAACAAAATTGTAGAAACGTTGCACTGCTAGTTAAATTGGTGCAACTTTGTGTGTAGATCAGGCCTAGGAGTGAAGAGCTGACAGTGTTTAAATCAAGGTTTTTCATTGTGGCTCTGATTTTCCTTATTAATTTTTTTCATAACTGAATATTTGTATGTTTAATAGGTCTCGCGAGATCTGGTGTGCTTTCTTCAGCTAGATCATGTCAATGTTTACTACGGACAGGACTATCGGAACAAGTACAAAGCACCTACAGATTACTGTTTAGTGCTGAAGGTAACTTGTTATATGTTTTTAAGTGTTTTACCAAACAGAGCAAGTATAAAGGTGCTCTAGGAATTTTAAATACATGCTACTTTTGTCTAGAGTCCTCCAACAGCTAGATTCTTCTAACTAGGTTCTAGTTGTGATGAGGTAGGAGGAATTAATACAGAAAGTTAATGGATGCTGAGACAGGCTGTAATGCAGAGCGTGCTTTCCACAATGCTGTAACTAATGGAAAATTAACCAAGAGTTTTCAGTCAGGAATACAACTTTAATTATGAAAAAATTCAGTCTGTTTAAAGATACCACATTTCTAGAAATCCTAGAGCAAGTGATATTCTCATTAAATACGTTGAAAAATACATTTCTATTGTGTGTTATGCTACCTCCTAGTACATGGAACAGAGTGGAATAAAGTGCAACAGTGGCGCAATGCAGAAGGGAGAACTAGCTGCAGAGGTCTTTGCTGTTCCCCACCCCCACGTAGCTGGCTGATTCCTCTCTATAACTGATCTACACACATACAAAAGGGCCGAGAAGGAGCTTAGAAAGTATTACGTTGAATAATATGTTCCCACTGACAATTGCAAAAAAATAAATAAAAATGCTTGAAACAAAAGGTCCCACAATGTGTTCTCCTCTGTCCCGCACAGAGTGATTACACGGTTACAATGCTGCCAGGAGTCAGGTGGCCAGTGAGGTATCATGCTGCCATGTGTTTGGGGAAAGGGAGAAGCTTTCCAGGATGCTGATAGGCAGGAGGGGACATGGACTGGAGCATTTTGTCCCAAGAATTCCTATTCCTTTTCTTGTTGGGGCTCATTTCATACCCATGGTGATGGCCATATTTACACCTACCCTGGGCCTATGGGCTAGGAGAGAATGTGCTTAGGCTGTGGCTGTTTCAGAAGCTGCAGTGACATTGATTTTACTCATTTTTGTGTAGGAGGGAAACGTCCTTAGAAACCTTCAATAGTATCATAAGCTTTTTCATAGATTAAACTACCTTAAACCTAAAGGGTAAAGTTTGCAATGTATACCAGCCTAACGTCCTTTTTACAAAAAACTCAAAGATGAGTTATTCATGTGTTCTTTAGGAACACTGCATGCCAGAGAAGGATCTGATTTGAAAAATTCATATAGGGGAATGCAAATGGGGGCACGTAGTAAAGGAAACAAATGTGGTTAAAGCAGTTGCCCAATTGCAACATTTTAGTTAAAGCTCTCATCTTAAACCACAGAGTTAATAGCTGAAATGCTGTCAGGTGTCTTTAAGGTGTGCCAGGCTTTCTTCGGATCTATTCCATTCGACTCCCATATTTTTATGTTAGAAATGGTGTTGGCAGTGGTAGACTCAAAATTATTTTGAAACAGTTTTTCACTGTGTGTTCATGGTAAGAAATGTTTCTTCATGAACTTAAAAATGATGCTTGGATGAGGATAATACAGGGCCGGCGCTTCCACTAGGCGGTCGCCTAGGGCGGCAGGATTTGGGAGACAGCATTTTGCCGTCCTCGCCGGAAATTCGGCGGCAGGGGGTCCTTCCGCTCTGGGTCTTCGGTGGAAATTCGGTGGCGGGTCCTTCACTCGCTCCGGGACCCACCGCCGAAGTGCCCCGAAGATGCGGAGCGGAAGGACCCCTGCCGCCGAATGCTCAGAGGAGCGCTGCCGCCTAGGGCGGCAAAAACTCTAGCGCCACTACTGGGATAATAGGTATTGTTCCCCTTTAACAGGAGTACGGTTACTTGTTTTCTGTCATCGGTCACATCTCACATTTCATTGCATATGCGATGACCAAACAGCAGACATGTCAGTTATTCTAGTGCATGTCCACAAACTTTATGGAAAGATGATATCTTTCCATGAGACACTTTATCATATATTTGTGCACAGTTAGAGGTAAAAATACTTACTTACTTCATATTTGGTTTAAGAAACATTAGTTAAAATCTAACCTGAAAATTCTTTTTCATGTCCTCTTAAGTTATTGGCACATGATTCCTCTGCAGATAATTGAGAGCAATTAAAAGCAGAGATTTAAGTACTTGTGGATATTTATAGATTATTTGATGTAAATTGATTTCCAGAATGTCGAGTATCAAGGCAAGTACAGATTATGCCTACGTTTCCGGTGTGTCATTTCTAAGGTTAAGATATTCTTGGTAAAGCCATGGACAGGTCACAGGCAATAAACAAAAATTCATGGATGCCCGTGACCTGTCCCTAACTTCCACTAAAAATATCCCTGTCAAAATGGATAGGGAGGCAGGTACAACACCCAAAGCTGCTGGGGCTCCGGGGTCCCCCACTGCTGCAATTTGTGGGATCTCCGGGATCTCCCCCTGCACAGTGGCCAAGCAGCTCTAGGGTCGGCCCCAACTGCCCATGCCGGCAGGGAGCTTCAGGGGGTTCCCTCCACCTGCAGCGAGTGTGAGCCTTTTCCGCCTGCAGGAGCTGGGCTACTGCGAGATCCCCTCACCCTCCTGCACCGGGCGCTCCGGGGGGTCACCCCGCTGCCTGCTGCGGCTGGGAACTTCAGGGTCTCCCTGCTGCGCCGGGGCAGCTGTGGGGCGGGGGTCCCCCACTGCAACTGGGAGCTGCAGGACCCCCCACCAGGGCAGGGGTTGGGAGCTGAGGGGGGAGGGCCACCTGGGAGATCCAGCCCCAGGGTAGAAAATGTCACGGGGGTCGCTGGAAGTCACAGATTCCCTGACTTCTTTGACCTCAGTGACATAATCATAGCGGTAGTCATTTCCTGTCTACATGATTCAGATGTGGCTCTCATTAAGCTGTTTTCTATAACTTCTTGGCCAGCCAGTGTACCGGGCCAAATCTTACTGGAATAAATTTATTAAAATTGTTTTCTTACCATTCAGAGTGTAAATGGAGCCATAGAAAAAATCTTAACTCAAATTTTAACAAATCAAAAATTTCCCATTAATTTTAGAGAATTGCAGTGAGTTGTTTAAGTAAATGCATGTGATGGGGTTAGCTGGTCTAATTTTTATAGTGTTTTTTGAGGTGTAAGTGAAATATGGTGTTGGTATATCACCAGACAGTTAACATGAGATTTTAAGTAGTGTTGGGCCTTCTCTCACCTACATTCCAGCAGTGTGAAGCAGTGTTTCACAGATTGAAGGGTACGGTTTATTTATAGCTATTCAATTTTGTGCTACTTACATTCAGGCAGTTTGAAAGAAAAAAACCCAGATTGCACACGTTTTACCAAAGCGGTCAAATCTTGAGCATTAAGATCCAGACTCTGCCCCTC